CATTACACTTTTTATTTCCATGTTCCCACCCCGATAAAAATCTATTCTTTCTCTTCCTTCCAGTACGTGTAATTTCCTCCGGTGGAATTATCTGAATCTCATTTTCAGCCTCACAAACAGCATTTATCATCTCCAAGTCTACCGGGAATACTGATGAGTCATAAGTAGACAACAACGTGCTTGTGTAGTAGTAATGAGAACAATAATCTTCTCCTTCTTCATGCTTTCCTCTTATCACACTTACAGCATGTGCACATGGAATTTCATCCATTTGGAATCTATTACATGAACATGTCCTCTCCTTTAGATTAACAATGAAATGTTGAGGACCATTTTTCACCTTGAAAATATCTTCACTTGCTTCTTCTACCTGTTATTTATTTATATATTTTTTACCAATCAAGACAATAACATTATTCAAAATCACATGATAATAATTATATACTTACAGTGAATTTCATGGACGCTTTATAGTTTTCTTCAAGTATTTTCTGCCCCAATTTTGCCAGCTTCGTGAATGTGCTTTGTGCTTCTTTTCGATTCTTCACATTCCAATTTTGCTGCATACCACGAATGGTCTCTAATAGCACTGTTATTGGCAGTTCTCTTGCGACTTTCATAGAAGAATTTATTGACTCGGCAGCATTTGAAGTCATTACTAAAAACCTATTTGCCTTGCAATGTATACGAGACCATTTTTCAAATCCAATTTCTGTCAAATACTCTACCACCCTGTAGTTTGCCTTCTTTATAACTTCCATATGATGAACAAATTCTTCATTTGTATAACAATATGCCGCCGCAAAGAAAGCACCTTTTACCGTATCCAGATTTTCTTTGTATTTTGTTGTGATATTTTTCGACAAATGATATGCACAACAACAGTGAGCAGCTTCTGGATACACCTGAGCATAAAGAATTCGGACAATTATTACTTCTCTTTCAGAAATTTATTTTTTCAATTAATAACATTTTGCAGTCTTCAGGTATACTTTTTGTTGATGTATAGTTAATTTTAAGTTTCCACATATATATTATATCTAAATTACATATTTTTTTTTTTTCTAAAACACGTTGTAAAGATATATTCATACCTTCGTTACAGCATTCAAGATACTTGGATGCCGATCTGTCACAATGCACAATCCATTTCTCTCGCTTAACGTTGCCTTCAGATTTGTAAAAAACCAATGATATGCATTATTGTTTTCAGAATCAACAACACCGAAGGCAAGAGGAAGAATATGCCCGGCAGCATCTTGGGTGCATGCTGTTATGAGTGTTCCCCCATACGTTGCTTTCAGAAAAGTACCATCAACAATTATTACTGGCCGACAATTATTCCATCCTTGAATTGATGCATTCATTGAAA